ACCCAGTGTCTCATAGAACCTTCACTTCTTGTCCCCAACACAGCCTTCACATGTTGGCATATTATTATTTGTTGACACCTTGATATTTGTCACTTGCTCCCATCACTATTGGCACTGTTGATCTGTTTGCTAATTTGAGCTGACCATTTGTCGTGCACTAATCAATCATGCTTTTTAATATTGAATTTGACAAGTAGTCTTGATTCTTTCTTCTGGCAGCAGCATCCTTAATGCCAGTCACTTTTTTCTTACCAGCACTGTCTTTGTAAGTATTTCCAGCTGTTTTATGTTGAGGTTTCTGCTGTTGTTTGCTGGTAATGGACTTGCACTCTTTTGCAATGTGCTCCATTTTATAACAAACATAACATCTCTTCTCCCTTCTGTCTGTTGACCTCCTGTCAGCTTTTGTAAATGCCTGCTTCTGATCAGCCATTACTGGTTTCAAATTTATCTAGACATTTTTGGACTTGCCAGTTATACTACCTCCATGGACTTCTTTATACTGTTCTGTCAGCTTGATCATCTTGTCTAAATCTTTTGGTGCTCTCTCCTTTTAAAACAGTGGCATGTCAGTTGAACACATGGTCATGAACTGTTCACATACTAAGAAGTCTGACAGTCCCTCAAAAGTATTTTTACACATGACCATGTCAGTCCATCTGGTGAAATATCGACGCAAACGTGCCACAAACTGAAATACAGTTTTTCCAGTGTTGGGTTTGATTCCTCTGAACATCCGATGAAAACCTTCTTCAGTAAATTCATGTCATTTTAGTAAAGCTACTTTTAATTTGTCATAATCCATGGCATCTTCTGATGTCATGCCTGCATATACTTGTAGCCCTTTTCCTGTGAGAAGTGGGCTACTACTGTTGTGCATATAAAGGTGGGCCTACTTATTTCCGCTGTCATTCACGTTTTCTTCTATCATCATTTACCACTGTATAATCCTGGCTATGGCTCTCCAACTGTCAGAATTTAAAAATCTGATTTTTGCTAATTGTTAAAATAAAGAGGATTTTAGTTATATTTCTTAATAGTATAAATATATACTGTTACGTTTCTGCTTGTTTAATAATTTCCGGTAAAAATTCTTTCCGAGGAACTTCAGTGATACAAGTCACTTCTTGATTAAAACTAGTTTATTTTTTCTCAATACAACTTTTTGTAATACACAGAATTTCCACAGTCACTTAACAACCTTTATAACACATGCTATAAATCGCAGTGCTTCACACACTTTACTTACGGTGCCTACTGTTTGCTTGACTCAATTATTTTTCTCTTGTTTTATTTGCCGGGCTTATATACTAAAAAAGAGAGCATCCCGAACAAACTAGGAAATTTACGATCATTCAAGAAACTCCTCGCACACGCCACCAGTGTCACATGACTTTCGCTATCGTAACAATACTATATTGTTGTTGGGCTTGAGATTCTTCCACCGTAGGTGTCTGTGACTTGTTTGCAATAAATTCAAAGATAAATAAACAACACACACTTTACTTGTTTTCAAAATAATATATATTCGGAACAAGATAAAAGTATGTACAATAAATTCTTCAACACTATACATATTATGGACATATCATAAACATTATATATGTAGTTCTCTCCTTCTTGTCAAATATCCACTTACGCTTATTCAATTACTTTAGAATTTCAGTTTACAAGCTAATCTATCATCTCTATTTCTATCGCACTAGTATTCTGTGTGTCATTCACTTACAATTGTGGCATGAGTTACCATAATCGTTTGGTCTTGTTTCTTTTGTCAAATTGCATTCAGGCTGATTCAGTTACTTTAGAACCACGCTTTGACGGATTAAAATTATTTTTCTTATCTTCTTTTCTACTATTAGTTTCACTCTAACATATTAAATGTTGGGCCTATCACTTCTATGATAGTTAACTTCACACCAACTTTATTCTCTTTTTCTATTATCTGTCTGCATTTTTCCCGCTCATCTCACACTTTTAATATCTTTATTACTTAAGCGTCTGTCTGCCTTCTATATTCTCCATGTTGAAGAATTATTAACAAAACTTCCTACAATCGTCTGCTTTTAACTCTTATTATAATAAAACTAAACAATAATAAAATATTCACTCACAAATATATAAATTAATCACTAATATTTAAACCAAACAGTCTTTTATATTATGACAGTCTGCCACATTTCATGAAAATACACATGCTGTATTAAAAGTTATAGTATGGAAACTGTAATGAGTACAAAATGGATATGAACTCAGTTTATTTGACTAAGCCTATATGGAAAGAGTTAAGGAACTAAGCTTGAAAGTTGAAGACACAAAAATAAGCTTTATTTTTAGCTTAATAGTTGTATTTATTGTAATTTTGTTAAATGGTTGGCAAGCTAATTGGAACTTCCATATTGACCACCAGCTGGACAACCACATCTTAAACATTACCTCCAGCTTTCATTTCCTTAGTCTGACCCTTGTAGAACTGAACAATTCAACTTGGTTTCAACTATACTTGAACATAACCTCCAGCTTTCAATTCCTTAGTCTGACCCTTGTTGAACTGAACAATTCAACTTGGTTTCAACTATACTTAAACATAACCTCCAGCTTTCAATTCCTTAGTCTGACCCTTGTAGAACTGAACAATTCAAATTGGTTTCAACTACACTTAAACATTACTTCCAGCTTTCAATTCCTTAGTCTGACCCTTGTAGAACTGAACAATTCAAATTGGTTTCAACTACACTTAAACATTACCTCCAGCTTTCAATTCCTTAGTCTGACCCTTGTAGAACTGAACAATTCAAATTGGTTTCAACTACACTTAAACATTACTTCCAGCTTCCATTTCTTTAGTCTGACCATTGTAAAACTGAACAATTCAAATTGGTTTCAAATATACTTAAACATTACCTCCGGCTTTCATTTCCTTAGTCTGACTCTTGTAGAACTGAACAATTCAAATTGATTTCAACTATACTGAAACCTCCATACAAGCTTTCATTTCCTTAGTCTGACCATTGTAAAACTGAACAATTCAAATTGGTTTCGACTATACTTAAACATTATCTCCAGCTTCCATTTCCTTAGTCTGACTCTTGTAAAACTGAACAATTCAAATTGGTTTTGACTATACTAAAACCTCCATACAAGCTTTCAATTCCTTAGTCTGACCCTGTAGAACTGAACAATTCAAATTCATTTCAACTATACTGAAACCTCCATACAAGCTTTAATTTCCTTAGTCTGACCATTGTAAAACTGAACAATTCAAATTGGTTTCGACTATACTAAAACCTCCATTCAAGCTTTCAATTCCTTAGTCTGACCCCTGTAGAACTGAACAATTCAAATTGGTTTCAACTATACTTAAACATTACTTCCAGCTTCCATTTCTTTAGTTTGACCCTTATAAAACTGAACAATTCAAATTGGTTTCAAATATACTTAAACATTACCTCCAGCTTTCATTTCCTTAGTCTGAGTCTTGTAGAACTGAACAATTCAAATTGGTTTCAATTATATTTAAACCTCCATAAAGGCTTTCAATTCTTTGATCTGATTGTGTTTCAGGTAAGTTGTAAATAAATGTTTTGTTTAGAAAAAAAAAAGATTTACAGTTTCCTTTTTAAGTAATTTTTGTAATTCTGAATTCACACTGCAAGAGTATATGATTAGAGGATATCTAAAAAATAAAAAAATATATTATTTTGTTTGAGAATTGATTTAGAGTTAATGTGATATAACTCATGTTAAAAGAACAGTATTGTAATAACTGTATTCTTGTGAACATTCAAATTGTATAAGATTTAATAGAGATATTCATAATTTGAGACTGGTTGCTATGCAGTTTGAGTGGTTATTTTTTTATTTCAGAAACTTCATATTCCACCTGACCTCTCTGAAACTGCTAGCAGAACCAATAAAGATCCAGTAGTGGACAAAATATCTCATAAGTTAATTGGCTGTAGTTCTGCTACTAAGATTGAGATTGACTTCTAAACATGTTTGAAGTTTATGTAAATATTGTGAAATAAAATTTTGAAAAACAATCATCTTTACACTGATAAAAAATGTATTATCTTTTCAACTTTGTCAGATGTTTTTACTTTCATCAGTAACTAATTGGTAGTTATCACATTCCTTGAATGTTACTCAAGTATGGTATTAGTTAACAACAACTGCCTATTAGGGTTTTACCCCTGTGAACTATGTTGTGTTAATGATATAAGTCGGAACCTGGGCTGTCTTATTTGAAGCATAGCATCGGTTAATAACAACTGGTTATTATGGTTTTATCACTGTAACCTGTGTTGCATTAATGACACAAGTCAGAACCTGGGCTGTCTTATTTGAACCATAGCATCAGTTAATAACAACTGGTTATTAAGGTTTTATTACTGTAACCTGTGTTGCGTTAATAACACAAGTCAGAACCTGGGCTGTCTTATTTGAAGCTTAGCATAATAAAACCTTAATAACCAGTTGTTATTAACTGATGCTAAGCTTCAAATAAGACAGCCCAGGTTCTGACTTATGTCATTAAATCATTCAGGTTACAGCGATTAATAACAACTGGTTATTAAGGTTTTATTACTGTAACCTGAATGATTTAATGACACAAGTCAGAACCTGGGCTGTCTTAATTGAAGTATTGGGTAACCCTCTAAATTCAAATAGTTAACTAAGTAAAAAAACCATAGTATTGGGTAACCCTCTTCCAAATTCAAATAGTTACCTAATTAAAAAACAAAGTATTTGGTAACCCTCTTCCAAATTCAAATAGTTACCTAATTAAAAAACAAAGTATTTGGTAACCCTCTTCCAAATTCAAATAGTTACCTAATTAAAAAACAAAGTATTTGGTAACCCTCTTCCAAATTCAAATAGTTAACTAATTAAAAAACAAAGTATTTGGTAACCCTCTTCCAAATTCAAATAGTTAACTAATTAAAAAACAAAGTATTTTGTAACCCTCTTCCAAATTCAAATAGTTACCTAATTAAAAAACAAAGTATTGGGTAACTCTCTTCCAAGTTCAATTCTCTACCTAATAAAAACTTGAATATCAAGTAACCAACTTTCAACTTTTTATGTAGCAAATAAAAACTTTTTATTTTCAATTTAAACTATGTAACAATAGAAAAGTGGAACTAATAAGGAGTTACATGACCATCTTTTGAATTAAGATATGAATTTAGAAAAATAAAGCATAAGCTCTCCATCTTTCAAATTCAAATATTAGCAGCAACATTTTCTGAATTACAAGAACAACAGGAAAACAGAAATGATCAGTCATGAGCTTCGATCCTCAAATGTTTAGCTAATAGAAGTTGTAGTTGCTATTTATTGCTTAACTTAATAGATCTACTAGAATTTTATTAAATTGTTTTGAAGAAACTCATGCCAACTAGGCTCTGATTTTGATTATTAACTCTCTGAAGATGTGAAATTCTTTGAGGAATAAATTTTCTGTTGTGATCAGAACTGAATACACTTGAACTTTTTGTATTACCGTAGCAGATTATAAAAAGAATTCAGTATCGTTTGGATAAAAAAACAATGGGCATTGATTGTTGCACAGTGGACAGATGACAAGATTTGTAGAGTCCAGAAATGCTGTGTGAATAACCATATATGCAGTAGGCAGACAGAGTGTTACATCAACAAGTAATTGGGCTTTTTTTTACCAGTTTAGTGGACTCGTAAACCAGATCTTCAATGTCATAGCTTAGCAGTTAATCTGTTTTTTGCATCAAAAAAATTTAAAATATTTACAAGCTTTTAGAACAAGAAGAATAAATCTTAGTTTCTCAAAATTTATGGGGAATGAGCAATCAGTATCAGATCGAGGGCTGTGGTATTTAAGTATGAGTGTTGGTTATAGGTACAACTACAGACAAGCCAGATCTGTACTTGTGGGTAGGAGTTTGAAACTCTTAACAAACTAGCAGTAAGGATGATATGCTGTTCAGTGCATATCTATGGCCACCTGCAACTGTTTATGGCATAAAATAGAACTATTAAACAGCTGGTTTTAGACTGGCCAAATAGAATCTGTTCTGTTTCCAGGAACGTAATCCTCTTTGGTTTAGCCTTTGGCCTTGGTGGACAAAACCACGACCTCATAGTAATATTTAATTTTGTGCCCTTATCAGTCAACTAATGATTCACTGTTTTAGTACTCCATTAGTCACAACAAAGTTTAAGAAAACTTGCAACTTATGACAGTAACCACTATGAACACTCCAACAGCCATGACATTGTTTAAGAAAACTGTTGCAACTTATGACAGTAACCACTATGAACACTCCAACAGCCATGACATTGTTTAAGAAAACTATTGCAACTTAGGATAGTAACCACTTTGAACACTCCAACAACCATGACAGTGTTTAAGAAAACTATTGCAACTTAGGGTAGTAACCACTATGAACACTCCAACAGCCATGACAGTGTTTAAGAAAACTATTGCAACTTAGGGTAGTAACCACTATGAACACTCCAACAGCCATGACATTGTTTGAGAAAACTATTGCAACTTAGGGTAGTAACCACTTTGAACACTCCAACAGCCATGGCATTGTTTAAGAAAACTATTGCAACTTAGGGTAGTAACCACTATGAACATTCCAACAGCCATGACAGTGTTCAAGAAAACTGTTGCAACTTAGGGTAGTAACCACTTTAAACACTCCAACAGCCATGACAGTGTTTAAGAAAACTGTTGCAACTTATGACAGTAACCACTATGAACACTCCAACAGCCATGACATTGTTTAAGAAAACTATTGCAACTTAGGGTAGTAACCACTATGAACACTCCAACAGCCATGAAAGTGTTTAAGAAAACTGCTGCAAATTAGGTAGTAACCACTTTGAACACTCCAACAGCCATGAAAGTGTTTAAGAAAACTTAGGGTAGTAGTCGTTATGAACACTCGGATAAACTGATAACTTTAGAAATAAGAGTGGTAATTGAAGTAGCAAAGGGTTAGCAGAAAATCTTATTAAAAGTTAAAAGTGAATTTTCTCCCTCACTGAATTGTTAGAAGAAACAGTGAACACAGTGCTTTATTGAACACAAGTAGCCCCAAAATAGAATTCAGACAGACTGGAGGACAGGCATTGCTTACACTAGAGATCTTTCTATTTATGAATTTGACTTTCTTGTTCCTTACTGAAAGTGCATTGTATTATATATACAAGATTCTGTCATGTCATCCCTCTTAATGTGTAAGCACTCTCGATGTTGCTGTTGGTCATTCCAATGGAAAAAGAAGGGAGGATATGTGTTGTCACTGACCTCCTTTATATTGAGTATCATACTAACCATTCCTACAGCAATCTTTTTGACAAGAAAGTGCATACTAAACCCAGGACAGTAGATAAGTAGAGCTAAAGCCTCTTTTTTTTTCCAAACCACCTCTATATTGTCTAACCTACATAAACTGGAAATGTATTCATGAGAAGAATTTTGAAAATTTTTTGTTTGATAAATGCAAAATATTTATTTACTAGAAAGGAAAAGAACCACCACTGTTAATTGAACAATTTAGGTTTTAAAAACAATTACATAAAAATCATCATCACTTTCTCACAATATTGATGCTGTTATGAAAAAACAGTGTTTCTTCATTGTTGGCATGTTAACTATGATTCTCAAACAAACACCACAAAAATTTTAATTAAATACCATAAATTATTTAGATGAGTACTTTCTCAAAATTGTCTTTGTAGAAACTTTGAGGAATCAACAGTTTTATGTGAGTGACCACTGAATTTGAAAATAGCCTGATCAATTTAACATTATTTATATGTGACACAGCATTGCTAAGCCTTGTGTCCCAATTTATGATTTTTAATTACATTAATGATAAAATACCTGCTTTACAAACACTATTATATTACAACTTGGTTAGAAGGTACACCATCTATTAAATTAATACTTTAAGAGACAACCCAAGCACAAAATATTGTTTTAATGGTTGCTATTATTGGGTGTTTTGTTTTTTTTTGTAAAAAAAAACAATGATAAAGTCCACTTAATAATAATAACGTTTTTTATTTCTTGAACTTCAAATACTACAAGTTAGCTTTACTAATTGTTTTGAGACTTGTAGGTAGATATTATATAAATATAAAAACAGCAATATATTTTGGAATAGTTAATGATTCTGTTGATGATTGACTACTGTTTGTGTTAGTCAGTTTGTAACAGGCTTTGTTTATCATGCAAGTGTGGTATATTCAAGCTTAGTATGGTACCATACTATGGGTTCTCTACTCCCTTGGGTAATGTTTAAAACTTTTTTAAAATGATTCTATTTTTCATTGTTCTCTGTTTGGATGCAATGAGGTGCTCAAGTAAGTTACTCAACTTTTACTAGAAACATGCTGTGAGTGTGTTCATATCTAGGCTATTCTCCTATGAGAAAAAAACTCGTTAAGGAGTTAGAAAAAGAGTTTTTTTCCTTGTTAATAAATTGGATAATAGCTAAGTAGCCTCAACGTTTACTAACACTTGACCGCATGCTTGCCATGGGACTGGGTGCAGATATGGCTTTGTACGTGTTACTCTACTGTGGTTTGTTGTGATATCAAAAACCAGGTTTGCCCATGAGTCTGATATGTATTTAGAAGAGCTGCAGTATATGTCACTGCTGATTTTTGTTTTTGTCCATTTCATTTTCTCTATTTAAGGCTATAAGGAGTTTCAGAGAGTTGAGTGTAAACCTTCACCTTTAACAAATATATTTTTAACTTTTTTAATTTGAATCATTGCAGATTCTGTGTTTGAGAGAACTGAAGTCTGACATTTTTAACAAAGTAGTCATACAGTAAAATCGAAACTTCACTTGGATTTTACTATACTTTGTTTTATAATAATTTTCCTTTTAATGTGTTGGAAGATTTTTATATGATTGCTGTGTTTAATTTATCATACCGGGGGTTTGTGCTAGAACTGGTAAGTTTTCTCAATAAAGGTTTGTGTACATTTATGTTATCAGTTCTACATATCCAGTAGGCACATACCCTTTTGTTATGTATTATA